TTTTCGTGTATAATTTCTCGTTTGTGGTATAGAAAGGATAACTGTTTTCTGTCGATGTTAGTTGCTTTTCTTCCATTGACATTTGTTTGATGTCCAAATGGGTTCCTGTCTATTGTCTTTTTTTTGTTTTTTTGCATCATTAATAATACAGTATATGTATCCTTCCCTTTAACAAGAAATACGTGCAGTATGTAATAGTCTATTCTAGATATACAGATCCATGAAAAAGTTCTTTGCACAAATCTATTCCAATGTTTTTTTTTTTTTTTAAAGATGACACCTGGATACATAATTGATATGAATAGAAACTAAAGCTTTATTTTTACTTTCGACTTTTCGATAACTTATTCCATAGACCGAAAATATATTTTAGTCTATAGCAAAGACTATCGATTATTTATTTATTTATTTATTCTGCAGGAAGAAATTTATAATAATCTGCTGTCAAGCCCAAATAGTATGTGGTCAGCTGGATCATATAGTCATTGCCTTCAAAATTTAGTCTTGTATGTAATGTACAAAAAAGTTATCACTTATCAATATAAATTAAAATTTATTTTGATAAGTGGTAATTAATCTGATTTTATTTATTTTATTGATTTACTTATACACTTTCATGGCTTCTATAGATTGGTGGTAGTCATTTGGTGACCTGACCCTATCATGGTTCTTTCAGGTTCTGAATTATAGTCTTGTACAGTACTATTGATAAAATGATCAGATGACTTAATGGCTAAGATGGTATTGCCATCAACCTATTGCTCAGGAGACCTGAGCAACCCAGAAATTTTTCATGGATAATCTGTGCCTTTCCTCATTGTAAATCTGACTGAACTTGTGATGAGTATGATCAAAAGGCAATCTCAGTGTACATAGATCAGAAAGATATTTAAAAAAAGAACAATAAAGACACTTTATAATGGTGAATGATAGTAAAATATTGGCCGGATGGCTGAGCCTACCGCTCTGAGGGACCCAGGATACGATCCTGATGGGTCGAAAAATCCCCAGGAATTTTTTGGGGGTGGTCTGTCTGGATACGTCGGGCCTTGTCCCTCACCACCTGACCGCCCCATTGTGGGCCTGGCCAAACCCATAATGGACTTGCTAAGAGAACCTCTTAACCCACAAGGTGAAAAGAGTTTAAAGCCCAGAATTTTTAGTACTCAGATATATCGTGCTTTTTCTTTGCCTTCTGATAAGCATGATATAACAAGAGGCTACTGCATTTTATTGTAGAATCAATCTTTGAATACAGCAATTTTATTAAAACACCAATACCAAATTACTAATTTATAGATCAATAAATTAATTTTTAAAAATAAACAAGTTTAATCAGTTTTGGACCCCATTTGCACTGATTCTGAAATGTGTCCCTTGTTGAATTGTAAATGTTATGGTCAGCCTACTTCAGGAAACTCGTCTTTTAGTTTGAGAAACACTATTCCAGACAAATGACCTCATTTAGAAATAGTTTAATGGTGGAAAGAAAAAGTTAAGTAGGATGTTTACCAGTTTATGTTATTCTATATCAATGCTGTTTATAAAAAATATTATTTAAGTAATTGATTATAATAATATTTTATCATCTACATGTAAATTTTACCCAAAAAAACCTAAATATTGTATTAGAAATTATTTATAAACTTCTGAAAGTAAGTAAAGATGTCATTTGTTACTTTTTTTAAGTTTTCACACAGTTCTTAGTTTTTTTAAATGAAATTTCACTGAATATTATTTAAAAAATTGTATATTCAATAAATAAATATACTGTTATTTTATGGCTTTGTTCATGTTTCCTCAAATTTTCTCTTAAAATGTTATATTATTTTATTATTAATTTTTTAATGATGTTAATAACACAACTTATTAACATTAAAAAAAATGAATAATAAATTTATGTGATGAATCTCAAGAATACATAAAATATATATCAACTCCATATTTTAAATTTTTAATCATAAAAATGTATCTAACTCACTTTATAGAAGTTTGTTTATAATTACTAGTAAATGTTTTTGAAGCTTCTGTATGGTTTACAAAATTTTTTTATATTCTTTCCACTCTGTGGACCACTTAGAGGACCTTCTTATCAAGCCTATTGTGGATCCTAGAATGATATAATGGTATATGGAAATGGGTAGAGTGGACCAAATTGCCCCTTAGTAAGCCACTTTTGCCATTTTTTTTTTAAACAAATGGAAGGAGTGTAATGTTTCTTAATTAATAAAAAGCAACTTTAAAGCTTTTTTTGCTAGTAATGATTATATTAATTTATGGGAATAGGAACCATTACAGACCAATGAATTTTCTCCAGGGCCAGAGAAAAATCCCTATTCTTGACAGTCCTGAGTATATATGCATTATTTTTTAAAAAATCAATGGGTCTTAAAAGAATAATTTTGTTGAATGAACTTGTTAAATAAGGGAATCTATAATTCAGAAGTAGAAGAAATCACTATTTCCAACTTTCAGTTTTGAATAACATTGTTCCTGACGCATGTGCAATGTCATTTTGCAATGCGAAGAATAACGTGCAGTGCATGCTGGTTCTAAATCAGTTACAGTTAGGGACTAGGGAGACTTGGAGTAATGTAACTAACTAAATTAAGAAAAAACAACTACAGATGACTTAGCTCTATTGGATATTAGAGACATGTACGAATACAAATTGTACAAGAAAAAAAAGGTTGACAGGCTGGCACGATATTCCCTGACAAAATTAGTAGTTCAGTGAGTCGATTCCCGGACTGTATGGGTGAAAACCGGATGGGTGGTAACACTATTGTTAAGGTATATGCCAATATGTTGTTTGATTTCTGTTTATTGTGATTTATGATAATGACTTGTTAGGTTAAATTTAGATAAAGCATCTCCACTTTGACAATTTAGATTTCAAAGTCTATGCTGACAAAACATTTGATATAATTTTTCAAGAATTCAAAGTTCTCTAAAGAAATTATGAAATTATATTGATTGAGAATGAGAATCANCAGCTGTATATAAAAAATGAATAATTAAAAACCATTGAACAAAATATGGAAAAAATTGTCTTTCTTTTTAAGGTAATTAAATTATATTTGGAGATAAATTTTTAATCAAATGGATAATGAGGATTTTGATATGTTTATTTTATTCTATAGAAAAATATATACTTGCTTGATATCAAATGTTGTTGCAAAATGCATGTAATATGAAAACATTGCTTTAAAAAAATAATTCTTAGAAATGTAATTCTAGCTATTTTATTTTTAGACCTATCTAAATGTGATGCTATGACATAGCATCTGGAAAATAAGAATTTAATCAGTTCTGCCATCAGAAGATCACTTTGTTACTGCCCATTCATAATTGTACAGTAAATTTAGTTCTTACTAAGTTTATATTCTTGAATGGGTTCTGTTTTACTACAACTTTGACTTAGAGTTTTAGCTGTAATTTAATGCTCAATGAATATTTTAAATGTCTATCTTTTGAGATCTATTTTTATTTTGAAACATCACTTAGTTCCAAACTTGACAAAGTCTGACAAAAAGAAAGAAAAAAATCTGAGAGACAAAAAGAGAGGTTTTTTTTATTTAAATTTTCAGAGTTAACTTATATTTTTAAAAATTTATAATGCCAATAGATATTGAAATGACTACTCAACTTAAACAAGTAATAATAATAATATAAGTTAACTCTGAAAATTTAAATTAAAACAAAAAGCTCTGTTTTAATAATAATAATAAGATTATTATTATTAATTTAATACATTGTTATGCAAGAAATGATTTCTAACATTCAATGAGAGTCTAGACAAAGGATTAATGCTGTTTTCTAAGCAAATTTTGAATGTTTCATTTTATCTCTCTATATAGCTGAACATATTTTTTTTCTCAAAGTTTAAAAAAAAGATAATGTTTTGTGAAAAATACTATTTTTCATTATGTTTGGCTAATGACATTTTTTTGATGAGCAAATTTCGAAATGTTGGCCTTCCAAATCCATTATAAGCATAATAATAATAAAAAAAAACCTTTTAGAATTCATAGTGGAAAATTTTTTTTGATTTAAATAAAATATTACAAAAACATATTGCAAGATTCTATGTTATTTTTAATTTATTTTATCTTTGTAAATTAATTTTTAAGTTAGTAATGAGAGATTACTACTCATCAAATTATAAAACAAAAAAGAAGGTTGAGAGTTAAACAAGCAATGTTACATATGTTGGTTATCACTTTTCAAACAAACTTAGATATGATTCATGCATTTACAACAAATAATCTTTCTCATGCTCCTGTAGCAAATAAACTCAATATTCTATATGTAATGTAAAGATCCTAACATTTGTAAAGAAAGACTTTACATATAAATTTCTATTATTTCTTTTGTGGAAATTAATATATCATTAAATAGGTTATTTTTAAATAGAACATTGATTAATATAAAATGATGCTAATATTTTGGAATAAGCAAATGTGCAAAAATGATTCTTTGATGACTTTTGCAATTAAATATGTTAATGGACAAATAAAAAGAGGCAAATGATAAGCAGTGCCATGGTAGCATACTAGTTAATTCATTTTCATTAAAATATCTTAGATCAATGTAATTAATTATAATAAATGCAGTAAATTTAAATTGCAAATTGATTGTGCATTAAATTACATAAAAATGCAGCAATGAACATTTTAATTTAATTAATAAAAATATGATATATATCATTATTATTAACAATATTAAGTGCATGTTCTTTTATTTGTCTGTTCCACATGGAATAGTAAAGATAATATGACTGCAGAGGGAAAAAAATTATATATAGCATATCCAACGACAACTTTATAAACAGTTAAAAGATACATAATATAATAAAAAAGTATGAGTGATAAAAATTATCATAATAATTTATTTAAAATGCTACTTTAAAGATATTTTTGTTACATAAATTAATAAATTATTTTTTGAAATTTATATTACTGGTAATAATAATGATAATGAAAAAATATTTTATTTAGGTAAAGTACTCTGTGAAGGATGTAAAAAAAAGTGTGTTGGAAGTGCTCTTCGTGTTCAAGATAAACATTTCCATGTAGACTGCTTTAAATGTTCTGGTAAACAATTTTTAAATTTTTTATTTTACAAGGGAAGTACACTTGATGTCACTAACTGATTTTGACAAACCATATGTCAAATGGAAGGGCTTAATTACATTAATAAGGCATCATATTTTTATTTGCAGAATAGCAAGCATTAGAGAGATATTGACTAAAACGTGTTACCATACATAACTTAAAATAACTCACAACTCCTACAACATATGCAAAAACCAACAACACATTCGTCACTTCATTGTCAACCTGAATTTCAATCTTAAATATCAAAATTGTACTAATTATGTTGAACATTCATCATCTAATTAGATTTTTGTATGAAAAAACATGAAAACTTTAATGAGCAATAACTTGTTTAATACTTGTATTCTGCAGATAATATTTAGTATGTGATTGTATTCTTAATTATCTTTCATTTGATACTAAGTTTAATTAAATTGGTTAGTGACATCAAGAGTACTTCCTTTGTATTAATAAATAAAAATTAACAATTTCAAATATTTTGCATATTTTAAGTTAATTCACTAATGGCAAGACACTTTCAAGTAAATTATTAAAGAAGAAACAACATAGCTTTAATTTTTATTTATTAATTATTTTTATATTTGTTGAACTAAAAATTTATATTAGTCATGACTTAGAGGATTTATTAAAACTTTGATCAAAATTTCAAAATTGTTTTGCATCAATTATATAGAGATTAGTGTTATCACCCGTCTGGTTTTCACCCGGACAGTCTGGGAATTGACTCACTGTCCAGGTGAACTATTAATTTTGTCTGGGAATTTTGTAGAAATTGTGAAATTACAATGAAGCAAAGTTCTTGCAAATATTTTTACAAATTTACACTATTTTAACAGCAAAAGAACTCACACTCACTAAAACTTATCTGCAATTCTGCCATCTATGTTAATCTGTTTATGCTGATGTGTGGCACGCAATTTGTTGATCTTTTTTTGTTTTTTGCATTTACAATCATACAAGTCTCCAATATCCAATAGAGCTAAGTCATCTGTACCTGTTCTTTCTTAATTTAGGGTTACTTACATTACTCCTATGCAAGTCCCTACTAGTCCCTAACTGATTTAGAACTGGCATGCACGTTATTCTTCTCATTGTAAAATTACATTGCGCTGCGTTTATGCTGATGTGTGGCACGCAATCTGTTGATCTTTTTTTGTTTTTTGCATTTACAATCATATAAGTCTCCAATATCCAATAAAGCTAAGTCATCTGTACCTGTTCTTTCTTAATTTAGGGTTACTTACATTACTCCTATGCAAGTCCCTACTAGTCCCTAACTGATTTAGAACTGGCATGCATGTTATTCTTCTCATTGTAAAATTACATTGCGCATGCACCAGGAACTTCTGTTCGAACAAACCTGACCTGCCATCTGGGTCAGCGATTTTGAAGAGGTGGTAACACTAATAGAGATGGCTAAATATTTTTTAAAGGAAGACATTATGGTTTAGGTCAGAATGTATCTTGATAGCAAATTTTATAAATGATGGATCCAATGTGATAAATTTTCTCAAGGTCCATACTTGACAGCATGTGATAATTTGTTTTGTGCAAAAAGAAAATTTCTCAAGTTCTTCTTATAACAAGATCTAAAAGTAGCTCTCAGTAACTACTTCATTTCCAATTGTCAACATGAAAGAAGATATCCAGAAGAAAATGGGAAAAAATCCAGTAAGAAGTTGCTTAACTTTCCTGGGAACATTTAAAATTGTGTGTGTGGTGCCATCTGTTATGATATTTTATTATTAAAAACTTTTAATATTTTTAATTATTATAAAATGGCAAAAAGCTTAATTTTCAGGGTAGGGATAGATTTTATAAAAAATTGTAAATGCTAATAATAAGTAAAATTATCAGCAAATCCAACCCTACTCGAGATATATCACACGACCCCCTTTATCTCTCTACCTCCTCAACCTGTAACCAATTTAAAATTTAATAGCATCAATTCCCCTAATACACACTTCTGTGCAAAATTTCAGGAATTTTCCACAGAAAGCACAGGAAGCTTAATGCAGACTTTTTCTTCTGTGTGCTGGGAGTTTTACCCTCCTTTTGTACATCCTGGAGATTACTCTTTAAGTTTGAGATAGATAAGTTACTGTTTGTTGCATCCAGGGCCAGTTTTGATAGGTCTGTAGTGTGCGCATGCATACAGGCAGACAAATTCCTAGGGTGGTTGATAGTGCACTCTAAAAAATAAAATTCAAATATAATTTTATATTATTTTAATAAAATGGTCAGTGATGAAATAGATTGATGTTTGCATGACAACTAATGATATAGCTGTGCATTTTATGGATATAAATAAAACCAAAGCATACATCTTACTGTTTGCATCAGAAAACTTAAAAGTGCAAGCAACAAGTGATGGGGGATTCATCCTTTGAACCAGAGAAAAATTTATCAGTGGGAATTCCTTAACCATTATGATTGTTTCTTGTTTTAAATTACATAAAAAGCATAAAATCTTGGAGTAAGTTTATTTATGTTAACGTCATATGATTAAGTTAAGGCTTACACTTAATGTAACTCATTGTAAATGGTTGAATTAAATAACATAGATACAAGGTTTTACATTTATGCTTAATTTTCATCGTGAATGGGTCTTTATACATGTATTGCTAATTGTTAACTTAAAGCAATACTTACATCATTGTTTTAATTGTTAATGGAACCAAAAAGGAAGTTTAAATAAAGTGATGTACACAAACATCATTAATTTAAATATTAATATTTAAATCAATTTTTATATACTCATATATATATATATATTGTTGTGTTTATATACTAAATTACAAAAATGACTTGATTTGAATAAAATTAAAATAAATATATATCAAATATTTTAATGGATTTTTAAAACCCCTGTCAACTTTATGAAACTCTCATGAAACATACCAGTAGATTCTCATGGTTGGGGTAGGTTATGAATTTACTTGCTACTAGTATTGATAGGGGCAGCCAAATATTTGTAGCATGTAGGCAGCAAACAACCCAAAAATGATCCTAATTGCATCACACACAAACACCTTGAAAATTTCTTAACACCAAAATTAAACAAAGTCCTTTGTCTCTTATTCATATTAAAATTTAAATTTGTAGGTCTACTACATTTAAAAAATCACAGCACTTGGATTTTGAAACAAGCACTTACACACTGCAATGTGAATTTGGAAAGAAACAGTATTTGGTAGTACTAGATTTGAGAACCACATACAACTTTGTTCTTGAATTTCAGTGAAAAAATTTTCTTTATACATCCTTGCTGAATGATCACTGACATTTGCACAAACACACAGATAGTATTTCATTCAGTTTTGAGAACAGAAGAATGCTGCCCATTGTTATAATCAGCATGCAGGCAATTTTTATGACAGGTCATAAATAGTAATAGTCTCTTTTTTAAAAGTTGAAAGATTTCAATGTCTGAAAATTATCAATCATTCATAATTACTTCTATGTTTAAAAATATATTGCTTGGATATAGACATTTACTATACATATGTTATTTGGGTGTTCTAGCTAAGAGCTTTCCAACACATTCATGAATATTATTCTCCCCAGAATATTTCCACTATAAAATATTTATTCATAAAAGTGCTTAGAAAACTAAAATGATAAATTTCAGAACCCCTTGTAGTCCAGTATAGTTGATGCCAGGGCCCAATACTAGGCTGCAGTTTAGCAGTTGAAAAACCCTGCTTTAATTAGATATTGAATTTGTATTCTGATTGAAAAACTCTCATTAAAACATTTAAGTTGACTTATAGAAATTAAACGAATTAGAGATGAATTTGAATTCTGCTTGAAGTATTTAAACTAAAATAGAATATTTTATAAATTGATGAATTGAGGAGCTTGATGAGAAAATTGTATATTCTACATTAGAAAATATTTGAGAAAAAGGAGGATTTGCATTTCAATTCTTCAGTATTTTAGTATTACAATATTTTATTAATGTGGGTATACATTTATGGGATATGAAACTGAACCATGAAAGGTTCTTAGAAGACAGATCAATGATGCACAAATCCAACTTTGATAATAACTCCTTTTTTGTGGTTTTGCTGAATATGCTGTTTTTTCATTAAGTCCCTCATTATTATGAATTCATATATTTAATTTTTTAATCAAAAGGTAAAATTCTAGTTATGAAGTTGCTTTTTTTCTAATCTAAGCTATATTAATAAATTTCAAATGATTTATTACTAAAACTTTCAAAAGAGAAAAATAAAATGATTCAAATTATAAAATATTTAAATTACATATTTAGAAGCTGAATGATAAATAAATAATAAATATACAACAGTAAAATTATTTTCAAAGTAAAATGTATATAAGCTGTGATATATAATTAACTTATTTTAGCAAAAATTCTTCTAAGTAATATTTTCAGTTACATTTAACAATCACGCTCAAATCCAATAATTCACTTAAAAAAGATATGAAAAAATAATTCAATAAACAGAAAATAATAATGAATATAAGTGAACATTATGTATATCAGATGAAATGAAAAATGTATTTTCAAGAAGTAGACTTGATGGGAATTTTGAAGGCTATTTTACTAGAGAAATAAATATTCAAGATTTAAGTATTTTTCATGGGCATAGCAGGGCAAGCACTGTAAGAAGCACTTAAATCTTTATATAACAGGCAAGACAAATGGAAGTGGCTCACCACATCACTTATTCTACTCCTGACAAATACATGAGTGAATGTTTTGCTTGATCATGTGGCATCTGTGACAATTTATGTACCAGTTTATTAAAGCTTATTTCAATTGAGATTAAGATTTTTTAAATATTGCTCACAATTTTTAGTTTTCCTGTAGAATTTTAGAAGGCTGAATATACTATGAACATTGTTGAGTTGGTATGTTGCTTGAAAGTTTTTTTTGAAAAACAGACATATGAAAATTATGGACAAAGAATAGCTTTAATACAATTTAACATAGAATCAGTACATCTTACACATAACAAGGTGAAAGAAAGAAGAAAAAGAAGGCTGTGCAAGATGTCTAAATCTTTTATATTTTCACATTATACAATCTTATTGGACAAATGTCATGACATTATTCTTACAGTGTCCCTGGTGGTCCAAAATCTAACATAAGATTTTCTAATCTCAACAAGCATACAATGAGGTTACTTGAAAAATATTAAATAAAACTTAAAATTCTTGGTTTGTATTACAGTAATACCTCGACTTATGCTACCCCGACTTACGCAAACCCGGAGTTACGCGATTTTCAAATCTCGTCGATTCGTCTTTTGTTTGAGCGCCACTCAACTCTTGATTACTCACTCCCCCCACACCTATTGTTCGGCTTACATGTTCAGACGTGTCGCATGGAATCGACATATAGCTACAATTTATTTTGTGTTATTTATTTCTGTGTTTATTATATCTACGGAGACTTGAGAGACTCTATGTGGTTATTTCTTGTAACCATGAACGAATCAAAAGACGAGATAAGATTAACGAGAACATTTATTAGCTTACATATATCTGACTTGGATTTTACATAAATTGCGAAATTATACCCCAACTTACACGAATTCGACTTACGCGGTTATCACTCAGTCCCACCTATCGTGTAAGTTCGGGGTATTACTGTATTTCAATTAGAAGTGGCAGCTTTCATTCTGAGGTGAGAAATAAATTTTCTTATTTTCAGTTTGTTCTACCTCTCTTGCTCATGGAGGATTTTTCTTAAAAGAAGGACATTATTATTGTGCTAAGGATTACCAAAAAAAATTTGGAACAAAATGTGTGAATTGTGGAGAATATGTGGAGGGTGAAGTAGTTACAGCTCTTGGTAATACATATCATCAAAAATGCTTTGTATGTGCTAGATGTAGGTAAGTTATTGAAATTATCATTTGCTAATATTTTGATAGTTAAAATATAATGACCAGCTTATTTTATTATTTACAAGATTTTTCAATTTATTGGGAAAGAATTTATAAAAAATTACCTAAAAATTTTAAATTTTATAACTTGTTTAATATGGCATTCTTCAACTATTATAATATTTATATTTTAACAGTTTAAATTTTTACGACAAGTTCTAAAGATAAAAATATAACATTGAAATTTGCACAGTAATGATAGTGATTTAAAATCAAATTTAATAAATATCAGCTCTGTAAATTTGACTTCTAGTCATATTTTAGCTATTCTATAAAAATTAACAATTTGATTTTAAAGAAATAAAANTCTTATGTCCTAACATTGATATTGCAGAATGCATATATTAAGTACCGTAGTATAACACTTTCATCTATTCATATCTTCAATTTATAATATCACTGCCTGTTATATAATATTAATCCCTATATAACAAGGTTTTAAAAAATGTGTCTTTTTAATTAAAATATTAAAAATTTTTAGGCAACCATTTCCAACTGGTGAAAAAGTTACTTTTACTGGAAAGGAATGTTTGTGCTCAAAATGCATCCAGATTCCTATTGTTACATCAAAATCACCAGAAAAATCTCTCACTCAAGATGAATTACGTATGTATTTGAATACTTTAATATTTATTTTTCCCTTTGATTTTACAAAATAATCTAGAAATAATCACTTATGCTTTTGCTAAAATTTTATTTTAAAATCAATGAATTTGTCTTTGCTCTAAACATTAAACTTACCTTATGGATACAGAAAAAATTTCACATATCTTGTAACTTAAATATGTAATTATCTGAATTTATTTAAATTTAAAAAATTCTTTATATTTAATCGAAAATTTTATTAAAATTTATTATTAATCATTATTAAAAGTATGTTTACATATTTATATTGCCTTTAAATATATATATATGAGAATATTCTTCAACTCATAAGAAATAATAAACCAATTCAAATATTTTTTAATCATTATTAAAAATATCTATACAGTCAATGCAGACTAATATAAACTGCTGTACTTTATATTCTTGAATATTTTATTGGATTATTTTCATTTCATATACAAGGTTAAAATATTAACAAAAAGCTTAAGAATAAAGAGCAAATTTATAATAGAACTATTGTTATGCCTATTATGGGGTTGGGCAGACCTACAGTGAGGATGATGATTGAATGTTGAAGGACAGAGTCCAACATATTTGGGACAGACTGCCCAAGAAAAATGATGCTGAGATGACTCCAGAACATTGTCAAAAAAGGGAGTGATACTTGTGAAACAAAAAACTCCATAGGCTTTATAAATAAAAATAAACATGATAACCTGTATTGATTTGTAATACAGGTTATCATGTTTATTTTTATTTATAATGTTTAATTTTATTTATAAACATTCTATTAAACTGAGTAAGTTGTGCAGGTAGTTATTTATTTATTGGTTTTAACCCTTTTTAATGCTTTTACTTTATTTATTTATTAATTATTATTATTATTATTATTATTATTATGTTGGGTTTAGTGATTTATACTTTGTTAACACTGGTGGCTGTGTACTATACCAGACCAGAGTCAATGCATAGCAACCAAAACAACAAAAATTAAATAAGTGTGTCAGTGTGTGTTGTCTGTAATTCAGGAATTTCCTATATTGAATACGATATGTATTCAATATAGTGGCCTTCTGTAGTATGATGTATGTTCCCAGGCTTTTATGTAGTGTGTATGGTATGATACCTGTAGAGGAGAGAACAACAGATACAATAAACACGTTATCTATCCTCCACACATGCCTTATTTCCTGGGCGAGTTCTGTGTACAGTGGATGATTGGTTAATGAACATAATCTGATCAAAGACAATGTTTGCTACCCAAATTGTTCATTAACTGATTAACAATTTACTATAGATTTCTATGGGAATTTGATTAATTAGTTCTGGTATCCCCAAAAATTTAAAAAAAAATTATATAATTTCTTACTATGTTTATTTATATGTAATAACAAACTAAAAGCAATCACTCCAGTTTTTTATGGATGGCACATCTTTTGTTTCTCAGATATGATTTTCGTTATTTCTTTAGCTGCTTGAGTCTTCTTGATTATATCTTTCTTAGCTAAGATTGTGCTACTGTAGACCTGTTCAAGCCATACATCCTAACACCATCAGGCTCTTTATGTGGAAAGGTTAATCTTTCTGTGGCCAATTTTAGGATGACGTTGTTTATGCTTAGTAAGTGTTGTTCTTGTTTTTCATTGGAGTTGTTCAAGATCTGTGTGAGGCCCAATTTATAACTCCAAAAGAATATGTGACTACTGGGATGACATATGTGTTTATTGCTTTAACTGTGTGTTTTGCATTTAACCATGTTCTGAGAATAGCATTTAACCTACTTTGGTAGTCTTTAATTAATCTTTGCTTTATTTGTGTATGTTCTGTTAGTTTGGCCTGCTGGTATCCTAAATACTTGTAGAACTCATCCTCTTCCATGGATTCAATCACATCTCCATTTCCAAGTGCAAAATCTTCTTTCTTCAGGACTCCTTTTTCTATGTGAAGTATTTTGTATTTGTCTAGGCCAAACTCCATTTTATTATTATTATTTACTTACCTGTTTTGGTATATGCTAATTCTGATAACATTAAATGATTGATAACAATATCCATGACTACAATAAGCAGATTCTACTATGAATGTATACGAGGTCTGTTCAAAAAATACACGGACTGACGTCATAAAACAAAATGTACTTTATGTAGAAGTTACATGTCTGGATCTCCAAAATACTCTCCTTCCCAACACACACACTTATCCCAACAGTGTTTCCACTTGTTTAAACAGTCTCGGTACACTTCTTTTGTAATATCCTTCAGCGCCTTTGTCACATTTTCCTTAATTTCGGGAATCGTCTCAAATCTTTCTTTCAAGGGTGTTTTGAGTTTGGGGAACAAGGAGCAAGTCAGGTGAGTAGGGGGTGGGGAAGAACAGTGATCGAGTGTTTGTCCAAAAACTCACAACTTCTGAGAGCTGAATGGGCCTGGAGCATTGTTGTGATGGAGAAACCAGTCACCACTCATCCACATTTCTGGCCTTTTGTGATGGATTGGCATCCCTCAGGCGTTTCAGAACTTCAATGTAGTAAGTCTGGTTCACTGTGAAGCCTTGGAGAGGTACTCGTAGTGAACAACACACTTAGCATCAAAGAAAACTGTCAGCATCATCTTGACATTGGATTGAACTTTGCGAGCTTTTTTGGATCTGGGGGACGTTTCACCCATCCACTGGGATGATTGGACCTTTGTTTCAATGTCATAACCATAAACCCATGATTCATCACCTGTTTAACAGCAAGTCGTTGCTCCATCAGGTCGTTCATTCTGAAATCCGACAAACGAAAAAATTGCACTTCACTAAAAACCATGTAGCTAATCAACAAATAAAGATATCTGTAATCGGGAAACGGCTTTATTACCAGACGATCTGTACAAACATAGCGACATCTAGCTGATTCCCCTGGAACCAACTGGAGCCACGCAATTCAAACAGTCCATGTATTTTTTGAATAGATCTCGTATAAAATACTGTATATAAAAAAATTATCAATTATTTCATGTTATTCATAAATTTGTTATATTATTATTACATTAGTACTATAAATTAAAAAAAGGATTTTAAAATAGATATCTAAAATCATTGACAAGTCAAAAGACTAATATAGATATTCAAAATTCTTTCTTAGAATGTGCTGGTTGTAAAGAGTTATTGAAAGAAGGTCAAGCTTTAATTGCCTTAGATAAGCAATGGCATATTTGGTGTTTCAATTGCACAGTTTGTGGAACAGTACTACATGGGGAATATATGGGCAAGTAAGTTGTAAGTATTTTCTTTTTTAAAATTAATGCATGTTAGAAATGAGTGATAGAATGATTTTAATAAGAAATATTATCTGTAGCATTTTGCTATTTAAATTGATAACAGAGAATAAAACAATCTTAATTTTTTTAAATTTGATTTATAATTAAGTTGTTAAATGGACTAAATTTTGTAGTTATTTTTGAAGAAATTTTTGTTATAAGATCTAAAAATGCATTAATAACATGTTTTGTTTTTACTGACTCAAAAATTATTGAAACACTTACACACTAAATTATAGAAATCTAAAATAATTAAATTTAGAACTAAAACATATTTTATTGCTTAAACTGAATTAAAGTAAAGATATTATCTTAAATATTTTGATTGTCATCTATAAATTAAATTTGAATATTTCAATTTTTCAATTTTTCAATTTGAATATTTTTCATGCATTTATATTGCTACTGTAAAATTATGCTATAGTTTGTTTTTATCTTTTTTATTTACAAGTACAGTAGACCCCCCCTATAACGCATAGATACATTCCACGTTATTTGAATCTCACGTTGTAGGAATCCTTAAATACATGAGCCAATCGCAGCCCGACACGTGTGAAGTTTACGGACTACGGCTGTTTGAAAAGTTTTCTTCCATAAAATTAATCAATTCTAGATTAATTCGACTCAACATTTCCAAAACACGTATAATTTTTTGGGAATAATCCGTATAAACTATGCTATAAACAAAAAATTGTAGGATTACTTACCAAGTGTGCACCGTTTGACGTCGCCATTGCTTAAGCTTGTTTTCGTCGCGGAGCAGCACACCAAACGGCGGCCGCAATTTCTGATAAGTTATTTTTCTGCAAAAAATTTGTTGAACTTTGGAGACATCATTAATATAAATAATTTTAATGNAAGCTTGTTTTCATCACGGAACAGTCCACGAAACGGTGGCCGCGATTTCTGATAACAAATTTTTTGCAGAAAAATAACTTGACCTTTGGAGACATCATTAATATAAATAATTTTTATGGCTGTTGAATAAGAAATGTTTCTTTCACAAGAAATATATAAAATTACAGCTGTATTAGACTTTGGTACCTAATTTACATAATGTACAGATGATACTAAACTCAATTTACCTGCCTAAACTCTCTGTAGCATGGTGCTGGACGGCAGAAAGTAGTTCGGCTGCCCGATGACATTTTATGTAATTATAGGAGTTTTTTTTACCTTTGTTTACGGATACCACCACAATTTTTTTGCTGTCTTATAGGAATCGTAATTATAGGAACCCGTCTTATCAGGGGACCTACTGTACTTTTAAATCTTAAAACAATGCACTTAGTCCCTACGAGTGGTTAATGGATGGAATCGAAGATGGTTGCAGAACGTGCACACACGCAGACTGCCAAATCCCAAGGGTGCTGATACCGGTCAATGTCAAATGCCTCTTTTGTCACATCACTAGTATATCTCAAAGGACACAACAGGGCTGTTGTAGATTTTAAACGTTTTTCACCATAGCTGTAAAAATCTAAATATATTAAACTTAAAAATCATTTGTTTTCTAATTTGTTTTAGGACAAGATGTCCTCAGAAATTTACAAAATTCGCAACTTTTCGGTCACTCTCATTGAACTGGAAAAATTGCTGTCTTTATTACATTAATAATGCGAAGAAATCAGTCCCCACTGTACTCAGATAGAGATGATTTAGTTAAGCTTTCATTTAAGTAAAATTTCGGCTCTTTCATCAGGGTTTTGTTTATGTCCCCAATTCCCTAATCTCTTAATTATTTAACTACTTCTTAAGTAGAAATAAGTCAAAACTTGTTACTTTGTACTCGAATATTTGTAGACTCGGGGGAAAAGTGAAAAGACAAATTTTTATGACAAACGGATACATAAATCATAAATTTAAGGAAAATAAATTTTAGAGTTTTTTCCATATTTGGTGCATCTCTCTCATTCATTAAATTTAGTTGTAAATGATGCTGTCAAAGTAACAGTTAATTTTTTAACATCATACAAGAATTATACACGTTTTTTTTCTACATCCCTTATAGATGGGACATACGAAATCGTAATATCACTGGTTTAACATTGAAATCCGTGAGTAATATAAAATCGGAGAATGGAATAAAAATATCAAATATTTTAATGGATTTTTTTAACTCCTGTCAACTATACAGAACTATCGTAAAAACATACCAGTAAATTCTTATCGGTTGGGTTAAGTTATAAATCTACTCATTATTCACGTAATCAGCCAAATATCTAGCGGGCGGGCGGCTAACAGCCCAGAATTGGTCCCGGATAGAATTGGAAGGGTTATATGTGTAGCATCAACCCAAGGTCGTAGGCTTCCACTGGCTAAACCGGGTGAGGTTGGTGCTCTGTAAAGCACGTGCGCAAATCTGGCTTTTTGGAATCTGACAATACAGAGATTCCACTCCGCCACTGATATTCGAATATACAATAGCAATCTTATTTTTTTTTTCACATGTAGTATAGAAATTTGTAATAAGATACATAATGCAGTTATAATAAAATATTGTGCAATTATTTTCATATAATTAAAATTAATATGTATTTATTTTTTATAAAATACAAGGGAAGCGGCGCTTCCACCGCTTCTAATGACAGCACGCTACTGTGTGTAACTTTTTTCTTAGCTAGTTGGTTGGCTGTTATTATGTAATTGGTATTTGACGCAGAATTTTTTTTATGTATCTTTATATATATGCTCATATTTTTATTTTTATCGGATTTTTTGTGTTTTTATATATTTTTTTTATGTCTATAGTGTTTTTGGAATAAATAAATAAATAAATAGTTTTCTGTCTTATTTCTTGTGCTGAGTGCTATTCTTCAATGCATTCAGCAGCTTTATTAACTTATACTTTTTCATTTAGCTGATTTTTTATGATGGAATATTTATCAGATTTGGCCAGAAATTACAGCATTTAGCATAAAAATTTTATATCTCTGCTTTTGTATAGGTTTGGATGGATACGTATATTTGTATGATGATGATAATTGATTTAGCTGTATTTTTGACTTCAAGAAATTGTGTGATTATTTGAATGAATTAAAAATTTTTCTTCAATTCTGTTACTTATGGACAAAAATTCTAGCACTACTTTTGCTACTTTATTCTTTAAATGGCTAATGAAAGCAACTCCATTTGAATATATAGTTCTTAAATAATAAATTATACAATTTTATTTTTTAAATGTTCTTGAGTTTGTTGTCAGCCATTACTGTTAGCAAAATGATCATCTCCTACTTCAATTTTAGAGTACTTGAATGTGTCATACTCCTTAAATGGTAGCAGAAGTAGGGAGTGCCTGCTCTCTTAGGCCCTTCCTATTTCTTCTCTCTCTTTATTCAAAGGAATAAGAGTGCTTATTTTTGTTTGTAGCATCTCCTTATCATTATTGTAATGTCATATTAGGATGTTTGTTGAATTTCAGAGGGATCAGATTGCTTGTCATAGTTTTTTCTTGTTACTTCTGAAATTTGCAACAGCTTATTTATCAAGCTAAGCCTCTTATATTATAGCTGTTCTCATTGTCTAGAAGAGCATTCTACTACTCATAATCTATGGATATACCTAGTAGCAATCAACTTATATGTCACAAGAATATTAGAATTATAGAAATGAATAAAAAAAGTATTAACTATTTCAAAAATTCCAATAACTATATCAAAAGTTATTAACTGTATTAAAAATTATTAAATAAACATGAAAATAAAACTTAAGAAACTAAAATCATTTAACGTCTAGCAACAAATTTAAACAGAGAAAATTATCCTCTGCTAGGTTCCAAATCAAATATAAAAAGAAATTATAAGAGTATATTTGATTGGAACCTGACAATGACTAATTAAATTAGCTGAAAATGTTCATTCTTATTAAATTTGATGCTGGATATTAAAAATTTTAGTTTCTTAAGTTAAACTTGTCCAGTTATTGCTTATATTATTAAAAGTGAAATATCAGGAACATTAGGAAAATTTATTAAAAAAACAAAATAGAAGAAAATTTAAAAATGTATTTGAGTAAGGAGAAAATTTTTATTAATAGATTAAATAAAATGTTTTTCATTTAAATTTATAAAACTTACAATTTTTTTAATTCGTTGGCTTGATAATCACATATATTGGCATGCAAACTTTTTTGTTTTTATGAGTCTATATTGTAAAAAAACAAAAACTATATTTAAAATTAAATATATTTTTATTATAAAAATTAAAGATCTCAAATGTAAGTGAATTTTTATAGGAATGGACTGCCTTATTGTGAAAAAGATTACCAGAAAAAATTTGGAGTAAAATGTGTACACTGTGATCGATTTATTACAGGGAAAGTTCTTCAGGTATATAGTTTTAACATTTTGAAAAATGTCCATACATTTATGTTTATTTTTATGTTATAAAATTTAGGTGCCTTTAATGATTAGAATTTCATAATTTTATCTATCTAGAAATAATAAAATTTTGCTTTATTTGAACATTTTTTTTTATAAACAATTTAATACCCAAATGTTCTCGAGCTTTTTTTGGTTCAAATTTAGGAGACATAATTTAATTAAAATATTAAGGAATAAATATTTTAAAATATTGAATATTTATTCTTCACTTGAGGTTTTGACTTGTATGTTTGTTCCATGATGTAGCTTGAGCAGACTGCTTTTGTAAACCTCAGTGTTATAAACTGGCCTTGCTTGTTTTAAAGGTCTACATTATGTGAATTCTGATGGAGAGGGACTATGCCCAAAGTTTTAGTTTAAATATATTTAATTTATCTTAAAATTGCTTGTGTTATAAAATATCTTAGAAATTCTCTTTCGATACCAACTTATAAGAAGTTAAAAACTTTTTAAACCATTATAAAAAATTTTTCCCATATATTAATTTAAAGGTTTATTTGAGAAATATAACAAAATGTTGAATAATGTACAAATTAAATCTGCTTCTATTCAAAATAATAGGCTTTCAAAGATAACAATGATAGGTCCAAAGATAAGAAGAGATAAATTGAAGGAAAAAGGAATCATATATAGAATAACGTGCAGGTATGATGCGCTGAGTTTCTACATTGGAGAAACCAAGTCAAAGTTAAAAAGTGGAACATTTGGAGGCTATTAGGCTAAAAAATAATAATTCACACATATTTTGTCATTGTCATGATATTGATTATAATATTAATAACGATAAAGTTAAAATTATATTTAAAGAAAAAAATATTGTAAAAAGAAAAATCAAAGAACATTTTGCAATAATTTTGTAAAATAACATAGTTAATTTGAATGTCGGAATGATGGTTGTTGCATGTTGGGATACAGTGATGGGAGAGATAAATACAACTTTATGCAAGGTGGATTGTTATCTAGATCAAGATGTTGGTGACACAGGTGTTACAAGTTTTATGGCTATTAAGTCCACTGAAGAGGCCTTGTTTTGACCAAGGTGAAATGCATTTGGATGTAATATAGCTTATTAAAAAATTTTTTTTGCTGGTTTTAAAAATACATGTCATTTGAACCTTTCATTTTAATTTTTTATAATGGTTTAAAGAGTTTTAACTTCTCATAAGTCAGTATTGAAAGAGAAAAATTTCTTGGTTATTTTACAACACAAACAATTTTAAGTTAAAAAACCGATTCCATCATTTTTAACCTTTTTATATATAATTTATTTATTTTTTTACAAATAATATACATATTTAATATTAGTAATTACAAAAACACATAATAATAAAAAATTATTTACTTTACAAAATTTATAACAAGATTTTGTGTAACTTTATTGCACACATACAATATATATAATATATGTGAATTTGTCTCTTTAATCCGATACGAATTTAATTCACAACAAAAATAGCAGCAGAAACCATAAGTGATTTTCTGAAAATATATAATATATATACTGTGTGTGCAATACTGTGACTGTGTATATATATATATGATTTAAGTGAGAAAATTGATATATATATATCAAATTTCTCACTTGCTTCTATTCAAAATAATAGGCTTTCAAAGATAACAATGATAGGTCCAAAGATAAGAAGAGATAAATTGAAGGAAAAAGGAATCATATATAGATTCCTTTTTCCTTGTCAGTTTTTTTATGTCTGATATATATATATCAATTTATTTTCTCACTTACATCCTTCTTTCTTTGTGTTCTTTATAATTCCTTACTTTTCTGGGTACTGGACAACACTAAATCATGGAATTAATTGACTGAATGACTGACTGACTGTCTGTCTGTCTGTCTGATTCTTTAACTATGACTGTTGATTTGCTGACTTTCAGACTGTCTGACTCCTGTCCTTGATGTCTCTCCTTTTTTGTAGTGTATAAAATTTATTAGAATTCCATTTAAATAATAATAGAATCCATAATGAGAGACAGAAATAATAGAAATGCTAGAAATTCTATTCTGTATCTAGCACTTTTATTTTGAATATAAACTTTTATTATTTTGAACCTTTATTTAGTCAATGTTCAAAACTCAAACAACGTTACTTTTATGAAATGAATGATACTTCTGTCCTACTGGAGCTTCTAAAAAATAAATAAATATCCTTTTTTATTTTTAGTATTTTTCAAGTTTTTGAAATTTGAATTTTTGTTTATTTTTTCTACTTCTGAAGATGAGTTGTAAATTTGGTTGAAAAATGTATATTTATTTTTTTTTTAGAATCTCCAACAAGGCAAAAGCATTTTGTGTATTTACTTTATTTTCATTGTTTGTTTCTCATTAATAGTACAAAACAAATTTTAAATGTCTGTTTTTAAATTTTCATTATGAATAAATAAAAATTATTTTGAAATTTACTTGAATAAATGATAATTATCAAATAACTGATCAAATTAATATCAACTTTAAGTGCATGTTTATTTATTATGTTGTTGATATAATTTAAAGTTTTATTTTTTAAATAATTATTCTTATGTCCTAACATTGATATTGCAGAATGCATATATTAAGTACCTTTAATAAACAAAATTTAATGTTATCTCTGTATATGATATCTTATAAAGCTATTGCCATAAACACTGTCAAGAGTATGGCAATAGCTTTATACTTCAAGAGTATAAAAATCACAATTTAAAAAAGGCCAAATATTTTACCAGACATATCATAAATCTACACATTTATAATGTCTTTCCTACATCTTGATGTGTCATGAATCTTGATATTGCATGATGAGTACCTCCTGTTATATACCTTTGTGCGATGGTTTGCTTTGTTAATAATTTCGTTTGTTCTGGTACAATATACTCTTGCTATCTGTCAGTTTATTGACTTTCACTCAATTATTAAGGATAATAATTTTTCTGGTTATTTGTATCCTATCTGTTTTTTTTATTACCATACTGATTATCTTTTCCTTTTGTTACACAGCATTGCAGGGCATTGCATTGCTGTATGGTAAAACCATCAACAATTTTACTATTTTACAAAGATTTGTAATCTTTGTAAAATAGTAAGGTGGCAGTGGTTCTTTTCTTGAGAAAGTTCATATCATACAGTCTGTATATTCTTAAGTGTTAAATCAGATGTTTCCTCTTTTTGGGCAGAAAAACTGTAGTGCTGCTCAATAATTTGGTATAACTGTAAAAATAGCTCACTTCCTTCTTCCGATGAGTCGGCCATAATTGATTTAACATCCATCATGATGGCACTAAAGTTGCCAGACTTGAAGATGCAATTTATTTTATCTGCCATTTAATATTATCACATCTGAGTTAAAATTCTCATACATATATAAAAATATCAATGTTGGTTCTTTCCCAATTGAAGGAATCTGAAAATGTTGTTCCTTCAGTCATTTATAATAAAATACATACAATATCTTTGGCATATATATTGGTGTTAGACTTATTATATAAAGTGTTTATGTGATAATATCAAATTCTTTAAAAACACTGACAAAAGAGAAAAGTAGTCTGTCTACTGATGGAGCATACAAAACGTAATGGTTGGCAACTATGTAATATTTATTAAAACTGTTTTGAAAATAATCCTCAAATAACTGATATATTCAAAATTAATGTTTACCAACACCAAAATCCAGCAAAGTGTAGAAAATTTTAATGTAAACTAATGTTTTCATCCATATATAGCTAATGGCTATATAACTTTACTGTTCTATTCTACAATGTTAAACCTAAACATGTCTATTATATATGGATGAAAATGTTAGTTTACAGTAAAATTTTCTACATTTTGCTGGATTTTGGTGTTGATGACTGTTTTGAAATTTTCATAAGAAAGTTATATCTTGTCTTCCTGCATTTGTGAAACTGTGGATTTACATCATCTATTTATTCTAACTTTTTATCTTAAGAAGTTAGTAGAATTAACTTTAGAATTCAAAATATTAATTTTTATACAGTTGTTTAAAAATTATTTCTTTGAAGTATCTTTTTATTGCTGTTCTTTTATTAAGTATGAAGGTTAGAATGTTTTAATGTTAAATTAATCAGAAATGTTTAAATTTTATTACCAAAATTTAATTTCTGTTCTGATTCTTTTCTGTTTTGTACTCATTAGAATTCTTAACTGTAAAATAACAAAAAGTTGAATATCTAAAAAAATGTAAATTCATATTTTAATATAAATGAAAAAAATTGAAATTTTCTTGAAAGGTGGAAAATAATTTAATGAATAAGAATTTGTGAAAATAATTCAAAAAACTAAATAAAGTTAAATAATAGATGAAATATAAAATGTGAATAAATTTTTATATTGATAATATATTTGAAAATACAACAAAAATGTTTAACTATGTATGTCTTTTGTATTTTCAGATATAAACAAAATACAAAAGATACATACATAGTTAAACAATACAAAAGACACACATAGTTAAACATTATTAATATTTTTTAAATCAAAATTTTATTATTTAGGCAGGTGATAATAGTCATTTTCATCCTACATGTGCAAGATGTACAAAATGTGGTGATCCATTTGGTGATGGAGAAGAAATGTTTATGCAAGGTAAATTTTAATGATGATAATTGATGGCTTGCATTGAATAAGGTTGCAAGCTCAAAAATAGTCAAATTGAGATTTTTATAATGAGTTGCACACTGCGAAATGATGCAGTGAACACCATCTTTACTACAAAAAAAAAATCCAACTGGTTACCATGAAAAATTCTTCCAACTTATCAACTGCATTTAAAAATATGCATACAAAATGGTGCTCAATCAGGCTTTCACTCTCATCTCTTCAGAGCTATGAATGCAAAATTCAGGAAAGAACATTGCATGTGCCATGCTATAAAATTTGCAGCATGGAGCATGATGACATAAATGACCTCAGTATTTTAGAAGATTTCTTCATGAGACCAGAGCATCTGAAAATTATCTCAGTGATGTGGGTCCAGATTACATTCTTACTTACATTAGAATAAGATGCTTCCATGATGATTTACAGCCATGAGACTCATTTTCCTTACTGCCATCAAAGTGAAGTTATGCACACATTGAAGTTCTGAATCACTTTATTGGTCTCCAGAACATTCATCTATCATGTGCATAAAGTATGCTATTCCCAGTGAAAAACACCAAGAACCTATTGTCCATGTGCAAGTTTCTAAGTCCATAAAATACAGACTTTTATAGATCTTTTAAGTCTGATGACAAAAGTAGTAATATTAAGTAAATCCAAATAAAGCATAACTTTCCATTTGGCAATCTGTGCTTTCATTAAAGGTATTTTCATGTTCAGCTAGCAAGAACTATTATGTCACATGCAACATTTTTCCATTAGTACACCTTTTCTTTTGTTAACTACCTCAAAACAGTGCAGCTTATGAAATGCTGTGCCATAAATAAGAAATAAGAACCTTGGTTACATGAGGCACTTGTAACATATTCAATGCAAGCCTTCAATTATTAATTTTTTACTTGATTTATGTCAGATATAATTGTTTAAGAAGTTAAAAAACTTCAAACTTAAAATAATAAAAACTTTTTAATTATTAATTTTTAGAAGGAACAGGCAAACGAAATTTAGGTTTTAGACCAATATCAACAAAACAAGGTATGAATGGTGATTTTCTTGTTAATAGAATAATATACGTATGATTGTATAAAAAATTCAATTTAATTATTTTTTTCTTTTTCCAGGAATGCAAGTTTTAGGTGAGTTTTATAAATTAAATATTTTTTTTTACTGATAAAAAAGATTTAGCAGAATATCTATTCAAAAACATATATTTTAAATAGTTTTTGAAATCTAAGAAATATTTATAAGTGCAGAGATCCCCTAACTTTTAGGAAATATTGCTAGTGTGATGTCACTGATCTGTGCGTAATAACAGGATATCCAAGCAATTCTCCATCGTAAGTGGGTGTGTTTGGTATAGAGGTCTTCCAATTTCTTTTTTTCTCTCAAAGTGTGAATGTCCTATTGGAACTATCCTTCTTGGTCTCGTTTGGCAGCCCCAAGGCATTGATTGGAGAAAGTCCATCGAGAAGATGAGGGGTAATCTGGTTCAATGTCGGGACGCAGAGGAGATTTTTAACTGAGAATGATACCACACAATCAGAAGGCATGGTGAAGCTCCCTGTGTCCTTGATACATGGATTTTTATAGATTTTTTTCAGGTCCCATACGACCACTTCGATTAGTTGTTTCTACTCATCTACACTTTCTAATTGGTCGTCACTCAATACCAATTGTAACAAGATTGTAATCTAGATTGCAGGATGAGTCAAAATCATCTATCCATTTGATCCCAACCAAAGATGGTTTATCTTAGGACTTACATTATTCTTTGTTAAAATATGAGAACTACTCTCAATTTTTTTTCATTCAATTCAAACATGTCCATTTACAGTCATAGAATTTCTACCTTATAACATTAATAGTTTTATAAAATTATTTTATAAATTGCCTTTTACAGTTTTGTGTGGTTCCAGTACATTTCTGGAGCCTCACACTAGTACTTATCTAATTGAAATTATTTTATGTACTGAATCTGGCAAATGTTGTGGTCATCTGTCATTTTAATTCCAATGTAATACATTTGGCCAATTAAATTATCTATGATGTTATTCTATAAATTTGTTAATATGTTTATTTTTATAAAACTTCTTTGAAAGAATTAGTATGTATTNAATAGTATTATTAATGTTATAATTTATTTTTATCATTGTCTTTTAGAAAGTAAACAAATTTTTTTACCATGAAAAAAAATTCAAACAGTTGTGTATGTTATAAAGTTTTCAGAGCAATTTTCATCATTAGTGTATTCTAAGAATGTTGATTTTGTTGAAATGTGGACATTGTTTGGATTACTGTATTTAGCAGAAATATATAAATTAAGTTAAAGACTTGTTCTTAATTTATGGAAGTCAAATGGTAGAAAAATTATCATTAGATGCCATAATAGGTACTAAATACATTCTAATCTGTCTAAAAATGTTATAATTTGAAAACACCATAGAAAAAAAACCAATCTTTTGGAATTATATGTTACTCTTAGGCATTCACTGACATCAAAATGTAAAGTATGATAAATCAGATCAGCTGTAAGGTAGTCATAAGATATGTTTTTGTATGTTAACTGAGTTCCATTTAACTAAATGAATTTCTGTTAGATGCATGAAACAAACCTTTAGATTACACTTTTTGCTCACTTTTGCAATCAGTTTTTGATTCTTCAATTGATATAATTTAGTCTGTATACATCAAGCAAATGCTTGCTTTTCTTCAAGGATGGCATTTCACAAAAAATAAAGAAATTACAATTAAATTAAATTCTTGTTTTGTATTTAAAATAAATAAATTTATTTTAGCCAACTTTTAAAAATATGAGGCTGCAAACAACTTTTCTTGAGGCAGCAAAAAAATTTAGAGCTATGCCTGTTTACACTGCAGAAATGTTTATACAGTAGAGCATCGATTATCCGACTCAATTGGGGACTCAGGTTGGTCGGATAACTGAAAAATCGGATAACCGAAAAGAATGAAAAAAATACATTACTAGTATAGTATATTAGTATATCCCATGTTAGTATATTAGCATATTGCTATTAACCTACTTCGCATTGAATTTTCATCGATGTTAAGCCTAACAAAATTTTTTTAAAATAATAATCGTCGCTATTGTATCGTTAAAAATTATTTTTAAATTATTTTATTGCTCACAAAACAAATAACCACTCATAATTAGAAAATTAAGTCTCGTTTAAATACTGGCCTCCCTTCAATGGTCGAGCCGTTGATACCAGCTAAAACATGTAAAAATTTAACAAAAATAATATTAAAGTAGCCAAGACA